CCGGCGCCGTCCCAGCCTGACCTCGGGGCTTCCGCTGCAGCGATGGGGCGCCGTCGAGGGGGCGAGGATGGCTAGCGCCGGCCTGTGACTGCTGCCTCCGTCCGGCCATGGCCGCGGCCATCGCCAGCTCGCTGATCCGGCAGAAGCGCCAGGCCCGCGAGTCCAACAGCGACCGCGTGTCCGCTTCCAAGCGCCGCTCCAGCCCCAGCAAGGACGGCCGCTCCCTCTGCGAGAGGCACGTGCTGGGCGTCTTCAGCAAGGTGCGCTTCTGCAGCGGCAGGAAGAGGCACGTCCGGCGGAGACCAGGTCAGTCGGGGCCCCTCCTCGCGCCCCTTGGCGGCCGCGGCCGAGCAGCAGGCGGGGCGGGGGGAAGGCAGCGGGCGCCGGCCTTTCTGCCGCTGCTCCTGCCCCGGGAGCCGGTAGCCTGCCTCTGCGCCTGGAGGCTCGCCCGGTGCGCTGGGACTGGCGGGCTGGCCCCTGCTGCTTTCCCACGAGCGTCTGCCTCAAGCGGCTTCCGCGGGGGGACTAAGAGGAGCCCGTGGCTGCGCAGACGAAGGTGCCTCTCTTGACCAAAGGTCTCCGGGATAAGCGGGGCCTGAACTGGGTGGCACCCGGAGGGATTCTGGAGCGAACGACTGAGAGGCTGGGTCGTCTTAATAGCATGACGGGCTGTGATGCAGGAAACAGAGTCTCTGAGTGCATGCAGAGTGCCTCCAAGGAACTGCATCCAGCATCCCAGGTCTGGATGTAGGCTTTCCTTGCGGAAGGAGGCTGCCTCTTGGGGAAGCGTGCTTTCGGGGGCGGGAGAGGGCCAAGCAGCGTGTGAGCGGTTCCCCGAGGATCGGGCTTTGGCGCCTGCTAGTCCTGCTGGCCCCTGGCTGCCTCTTTGCACCAGCTGCTGGGGAGCATGGGCAGGAGGTGCTGCTGTTGTGGTTACTGCGTTTGGTGTACGCCCTGCCGCCGCCTCCAGCCTGAAGTGGGCTGCTTGTCCTGTTTGTGAGCCTCGTTGTGGAAGGCACCCGGGCTCGGGTCTGATCCAGCCGCAGGCCCTTTGGGGTGCTGTCGTGAAGAGCAGCCCTCGGGGGAGTGGGGCCCTTCTTAGTTTGGGGGCTGGGGCGGCCTGCGGATGTGGGGAAGTGCTGCACGGGGACCCCCGGCCGAGCTTCGCGGTGTGTGGCCTGTTCTCAGGAGATGGCTGCCTCTCGCAGGTCCCCTTTTCTCAAAATGCACATGAGGCTTAAAACCTCAACAAGCGCCTCTGTGCATACATGTAGCGCAGGCACACGAATCAGGAATCTGGGACTTGTTGTGGTTCCCTTCGGTTTTGCACTCCATGGCGCAACTCTGGGGGTTGTGTGAAACAGCCAGTGCTTGGCCTCTGGAACCTGGATGCGAGAGGCCCAGTGTTACGAAACGAGGGCGATGCTTCTGAGTGGAAGAACTCGTTTCCCCTTCTGCCTGCCCCCCACCACCCCAGACGGGACATCCAAGCGAATCCCTCGGGCACTTTTCTCAAGCGCTGCGCTCTCGGCTCTCAGCAGTGAATCCAGGCCGGCTGGCGTTGGGTGAGGCGTCACTCGGCCGAGGCGCAGGACCTTCCGGCTTGGTGCTCCCTGCCTGCCTGCCTGCCGGAGATGGCTCAGAAACCTGCGTGCGCTGCCTGGCAGCTCCGCCGTGGCAAAGACGGCATGTGGCTCCCCCAGTGAGGGAATCGTCATGCAAAATGGAGCCCTCCAGGTTCACAGCCAGGATAGCCACTGATGCACCAGGCGGCCCTGGACCTCGATCTCCATCTGTGAAATGGGTACATTCGGTACCCTCGGCTTCTCTGTCTTGGCACGGCTCTAAGCAACTGCTGCCGTGGTTGTCTCTCCGCCAGGGGAACACACCGTGCTGGGCACCTGCTTCCCTCTGAGGCAGAGTTTGGGTACGTGTGGGGGCAGGCCTGGTTCTGGGGTGGGCAGTTGCCCCTCCCACAGACAATTTATCTGCCCCCCCTTTTTTTGCAGTTGCTGTGGGTCTAAATGGCCTGCGGTGGGGGTTGGGGGAGGCCTGTTGTGCGGCTGCTCGCGTAACATCGGATGCAACCGGCTGCCGTCGTGAAAGGGCCAGGCAGCTGGACACGGTGGCGACGGTCGCCATCCCTCTGGACTGCTTCCACCCACACGGATTAACCGTGAGGACCTGGAACCGGCGTTCCTGTGCCTGCGCGCACCGTGAGGACTGGCACGGCCAGTGCACGGACCGGCCGTATCTGTCGGCGCCGGGCAGGCCCCCTCACCGTCGCTTTGCCCCTTCCCCGGCGCGTCCGCACGGTGTTCTGCAGAGGGACTGACCCACGTGGCCCCGGGTCGTTCTAGGTTTGGGCGATGCCCACGGAGCCCCTGGCCGCGGCTGGCCGTGGGCTCGTGTTCCTCAGGGCGCTCTCCTCCCCGGCAAAGGCACGTTCCGGAGCCCCCGGTCACCTCCTTGGAAGCATTCTCCGAAGGACTGCGAAGCTGTGAGCCGGGTGTGGGGTGGACAGGGAGTGGGAGGGCGGGGAGCCTGCGGATCCGTGGGAGGCGGCCGGCTGGCCGTGGGGCTGCCTCGGGGCTGCCGTGCCAATCAGTGCTGAGTGCCCCCCCCCCGGCCGCTGTGAAGGGGGAGGGCTGCGCACGGTCCTTGCGCTCAGGTGTACTGGGGGGCGGGGGGCACAGCGCTGGCCACCCAGTGCTTGCTCAGCAGCGTTCCCTGCTCTGGGGCTGGATGTCCCTGTTGCGTCCTGGGGTTCAGGCTGCCCTCTGAAAGCAGAGGTCTCCTGGGAGGGCAGCGTCGTGGTGCCCGGAGCGGTCATGGCAGGGGAAGCGCTCCGGCTGGCCTGCTCTAGCAGCTTCTCCCGGCCCACACGGTCCTGCAGAGTACCCATGTGCCACCCCACCCTCTTGCATTTCTCAGTCCGGATTTCCGATGCTTCCGGGGCTACTGCTTGGAGACAGTCTCTTGCCTCGGGGCCCTCAGGGCCCTCGGGCCCCCGAAAGAACCATTCCGCCGAGCTCGCTCCTGCGGCTGGCGGCCCCTGCCCAGGGGGCTCCTCGCTGCGCTGGTGCTCGCTGGGCATTTCTGCAGGGCCACGAATGGCAGCGCCACAGTGCAGCATCTGGGCGGGCTTTCTCTTCGGGGGCCGGGGCCAAGGGGCCACTTCGGTGCTTGAGATGGTGCGGTGCACCCAGCGCACCATGGAGGGAGCCCGATGGGCGCCCGTCCTGGTGGCGCAGTGTTGGCATAGTGCGCATTGTTTTGACGGAGCTGTGCGCAACCAGAAGGTGCGGGTGCCGGTGGCCAACGGTTGGGGTTGGGGTTGGGGTCTGGTGGAGACCGGGAAAGGGTCTGCGGGCGGGGAGTTGCCAGCACTGCACCCGGGCCTGGTGCTCCTTTGCAGGGCAGCGCCGGCACTGAGCGGCACGTGACACCATTGCTGCCACGTCGCGGTCAGGCAGGGCGCTGAGCTGGCACCTGGTGCGTGGCAGGTGGCAGGAATTTCCCACCTGTGGGCATGCGTGGCCCTGCCTTGCACCCATGACCAGGAACCCGTGTCCCTGGCCGGTGGAACACCTGTGGACCTGTAGCTTCTGCAAGCACCCCAGGCCACCCCTGGCCCGGCCCGGCCCGGCCCTGTGGCGCCGCATGCCCCCTGGCAGCAGGTTGGCGGTGGCCTCTGCGGGCCTCCCCGGTCCCTGCTCCTTCCACACAGCAGCGAAGGGGGCCGGGCCGCAGGTCTGCCGGGCCGGCGCTGCCCCCGTCATCCTCACCGCCCGTCGCAGGCAGAGGGACTGCGGGAGGGGGGCTTCCTCTCTGGACAGTCCCTTGCCCCGCGCAGAGGGTGTCGGCTTGCAAGTGCCCTGGCCCTGCCGTGGCCGTTCGGGGCGTGGGAAGGACGTGTCGCCCGGATGTGGTGGAGCGGGCCTTGGGCTCTGTGCAGGGAACGTGGGTTGCTTTTCTGGACCCAGCCGACTCCCCGCTGCTTCAGTCGCGTGTTTGGGCTGCGGTTCTTTGCTTGCTTATATTTCTGTTCCGCCCTTTCTCCTGCGAGGAGGACAGGGCAGCTTGCAGGAGCTCCCCCCCCCCGTCTGTTTTGTCCTCCCAGCAACCCTCTGAGGCACGCCTGACTGAGAGGCTGCGGCAAGGCCCAAGCCGCCCACTGAGCTGCTTCGCCACGGGGGGCCAGGACCCGTGTCCCCCGGGTCCTGGCACCAGACCACGTTGGTTGTGCACGGATGTTCTGCCGCCTGCGGCTCGCCCTCCTTCCGTCGGCGGCCCGTCGCCATCGCCTGCACTGGCTCGTCCTGCAGCACTCTTGCACTCTGCGCGTGGCCCAAGACCATCTCCACGCTGTACTGCGCGGGGTTGGGTGTGAGGCCCACCTTGGTTCAGGAGGCATCCTCTTCTCTGCCGAGGGGCTGCCCTTCTGGCCCGGTGGGCCTTCTCTGCTCCCACGGTGCCATGGGGAGGCTGCACATGTCTCCCACCTGCTCCCACGGCTGATCTCTGGGGAACGAGGGGCCCTAATGGGGCGCTTTTCCTCTTCTTTGCTAAAAGACCCACAACAAGGCCTCCTGGAAGGGCTCCTGCCGGGATCGCCTGCGGCTCGTGTCGCATGGCCCCCTGGCGGTGCAGATCGACTGCTTTGGGAGCAGCCCCCCCATTTTCCCTGCTCCATCCAGGGTCAACTGGAAAGGGGGCCGCTTGATCGTTGCTGGGGTGGACCGGCGGGTCAGCCGCGTGCAAGCAGGGCTGCGAGGCTTGGCAGGCCCTGGAGATGCGCTGCCGTTTCTGCTTTCCTTGAGGCCTGGGAACATGCATCGTTGGTCAGTGCAGCCCGGGTGCCCCGAGGGGGTCCACACCTGTGCCCCGTTGCTGCTTGGCAGCCTTTCTGGGTGTTCAGAGGAGCCCCGGTCCACGCAAGAGGCGAGGGGGCGCCTCACGCTCAGTGCCGGTGAAGCGCCTCTTCAGCTGGCGCTGCTGCTGCGTCTGCTGCTTCTCGGGTGCTTGGGGCCCCGTGCGCCCGGCGTGGGACTGAGCCCTCAGATGTCGCCGCCCGCCTGGGGGGCTCACCCTCCCGTCTGGGAGGAGGGGAGGAAAGAGGGCAGGCCCCGCAAGCCCAGGTGGGGCCCCGTGGGGTCCCTCGCTGGGCTGCGGGGGGTGGGGGCGGACCTCTGGAGTCACGGTCCCTGCGTGTTCCTGGGTCCCCCAAGCAGTGCCAGCCAGTGGAAGCGCCCGCGGAGCTCGGGCCATGAGCCTGGACTCCCCTGGAGACAGAAGGCGGAGGA